ATCAGTCCAGTCTGCTTTCACCAGTTCTCACTGTCTCTTTGCTTGCGGATTTTCTTATTTTTCCTTCTACCATGAAGATGGAGGCGATACATTTTCCGAAACGTCGGTTAACACCACCCACATCCCAGAAGACTGCCTTCTTCAGGATTTATACGGCCAAACTGCCTTACACTGACCTCTTCTCTTCATTCAGTAACAACCTCAGAAATGTTACATCCCAAGGACAGACTCCCCAAGTGCCTTGCAGATTCTGCATTCTTACACATCAACAGATCAATTCATCCAGATACTGGGATTTTTCTGCAAGCATCCACTTAATGGCTTATACTCCAGCCATAAGCAGTCACCTTACCGAGACAAAGCACTTAATTTCTGCCAGATAAGAAATAATGAATACCTCAGCAGCATCAAAGAAGAATTAATATTATTGTCATACGTTTATAATCGTGTGCCAAAGGTTTGTAGTTTATTCTTATTCACCAATTTTTGTATCATCTTTTATCACCCTAGAGGAATATACACATGATCATGCATTTAGCCCTTCATAGTCATAACAGAACACTGATAATGAATCCAAAGTAATAAACAAGATTTTTTTTTCCCCCATGGCACTACAGCCCCAGTGGGCCTAGGCCTACTGCCATGAACTTCTCCATTCACTTCGGTTTTTCTAGATCTTACACATTCAGTAGGACTCCTTGGGCAGGTGATCAGCTCGTTGCAAGGCCTCTACCTGTACACAAACAGAAAAATGCACACACAAACTAAATATCCATGCCCTGAGTGGGATTCGAACCCATGATCCCAGTTTCCAAGCGAGCGAAGACAGTACATGACCGGCCAAACAAGAAAAATACATTAATTAAATTCTTTTAAAATGGTGATCAGTTTTGCTACATTAATTCTGACAGTGAGTGGAGGAAAAACTTCTATATAATACCTCATTCAACCATGGACCACTTATTAATTACTCAGTACATCACTCTGTAGTTGTAGTGTTCCCAATATAATTCAATTTTCTTTCCTATTGAGATTTTTTAAAGATTAAGAAAATATGTGCTACAAATCCTCAAATATTTTAACTGGTTTGAATAAACATATGATAAAGGCAATTTGTAAACAGTATCAACATAGTTGTTATGCTTTCAAGCAACATGTGAATTCAGTCTTAGCATGAAACTAATAAAATACATTTTGGGTTGAATTTCTGTAAGATATGATTATCTTTATAATCAAATAATAAAAAAGTGGATTACAAAAGTACAAAATGTAGCAGTATATACTTACATCCCACTTCACAGATAATAATTAATTTATAACTCTGAAGAGCACATATAGAACCAATAATATTTTAAATCAAGAAAATTGTTGTATGATGGGAAAAATATTGGTCTCACACATATAGTTCAACTATAGTAATTGTGAAACAAACATAGTCTCACACATATAGTTCAACTATAGTAATTGTGAAACAAACATATATTTTTTAAAGCTATGACTACATTTAACTAACAGTAAGTTTCTACCTACTGCATAAGCTTGACCATTAGCACTGTGAATGATGAACATGTTCATTTTTATCATGTGTTTCTAGCAAAAAGGCACACTGCTTCTGCTGCTTTGTCTACAAAATAATTCAGAGAAAATTCCGGCATTTATTAAGGTAAAATCTACAGCTGTGTATAGGTTCTAAAGTCTATTTACTATCATCATTATCAAGCACAATTTATTTTTATAGCTCTAGTACTTTGAGGTGACAGTCCCATGACCCGAGGTGCATAGAAGTATTGGTAGTGGCCGGGAGAGCTCCAGCATGCCGACAAGTGTGGCGGGGAATGCAGTACAGGCGTTCTCTAAAGGAAATAACTTCTTACCTCATTGTGTTGGATAGTGATGGTGGTTTATTCTCGTTGACGTTCACACATCGTATGTTAAGTTTTAAGTGCCGAATGACAGACTGTTGTGCACTATACACTATTATACACTTTTCACTGTTATATGTATACATGAAGAGTTTATTTACATATTGCACGGGTCTATTCTAAAGGGGCAACACCGGCAATGTCCTATTATGTTTTGTTTTCTTCCAGCGGAACCCCAGTTTCAAAATAATTTTCTTTAACGTGGAGATGCATCCCTGAAAATCTAATATTTTCTTCAACTTTTCGTGAACTTTTTTCAGGGTACGTCTCCGTTTTTCGACTATGTACAAGTCATTAATTGTTCTTCGCACCACAGACTCGTTAAAGTCGTCCAAAGTGTCTAGTGGAGATTTCCTAGGTGGTGTGTCGAAAAGGAAGTGGAAGCCCCAGATTCGATATTTTTTGTTTCTCTTATTATTCTTCTGACACTACTTTCCAATACACCTGTTGCCTTTGCTACTTCCACTCCTATGTTTTTCACTGTAATTGTTGGCCCAGCCTCTTTCATATACTTATATTTATTATTAAACAATTTCTCTTGATTGTGAATGCAACACTTTTCCACTCAATTTACTTCGTGTAGGTGGCATGTTAAAGGAGATGGAAAAAATGTACAAATATAAATAAACAAAAAAGAAAATCAACGAATAAAAATAAAATATTGTCACTGTCACCACTTGACTTCTGGCCCAATACTTCAATGCGACGTCTCAACTATCTTTGGCCGTGGTTGGATCTCAACCGAACTCAACTGTCTTCGGCGATGGCTATCCCAATACTGACTTCTTGCTGTTTCATGTCTCTGTAACGCTCGGCTTATGTAGGTGTTCTGCGGACTGTCTACCAACACCATTCCTCATTGTGCTCATTGTTTCGTTTCTACTGACCTCTGTTACGTAACGGGCGCAACGAACTTTCTGTAGTTCTGGGGAGACGCGTTCGTTGCTTCTCCATAGTCTACGCAACGGCTCCCTGTTCTTTGCGTTACCATGGAAGTGCCTATTCCAAACTCACGTGTTCGGCAATCCGTTGCCTCGGGAACGCTCCTTCGCAACGGTCTGTTTGTATTCGATTTGTCGCTGCTGGAACTCGACAATTTCCTTTTGTAGCCGTCGCGCGGCGATGGACATAAGGTAACACGTCACGATATTAATACAGTAATTAGATAATAATACACTAAAATACGATTCCTAGAGTCAAAACTTTTTAACTTTACTGTACAAGGAAGAATGCTTTTGAGACGACTGCTCGCACTGAATGCAGACGAATGACCAGTGACAACACCCCTCAACTTTCACGAATAGACCTGCCCATCCACGGTGCAGCTTTTCCTGGACTGTCAGCTCTAAGTGCTAGAGCTTTACAGGTTCCTTAATCTCTTATGTAGTCTCTGAGGAATTCCATAAACCTTGATAGTCTGTTGACTTGTTAACCCTGGCTGCTTTGCTTCTTTACTATTCCGTGTATGTAAGTAATCTGTGATGCGTGATAGTAATTAACCAGGGGGATGCAACTTAATGCTATTGGCGAGCAACTTAACCGCCGTGACGTCATGAAGCATCACTGCTGCCGCGGTGGCCAGCTGCAATTCCCTTCAAAAAAAAAATGGCTGCTGCCGCTGCGAGGGCTCGGTCGGTAAGAAAGTATGCTATTGTATCACCAGCATATTTTTTACTGCTCCCCACTAAATAATCACTGGTTCACGCGTATAGCTTTAATTAATAATTGATGTAAATGAAATGTTCATATTTTACAGGCACTGGTGGGAAACTTTCTCCAGATAAATAATGTTGCAACCTGATATCTTGTACTGCAGAGGGTCTTACTCCATTGTGTTTTTTCTGTTTCCAAACTGAGTTTAATATCACTTCGCTCAAAACCACCTGGAGGGGAATGAGTTAAATGATATCAAAATCAGTTCGAAAACAGAAAACACACAATGGAGTAGGAACCTCTGCAGTTAAAGATATCAGGTTGCAACATTATTTATCAGGAGAAAGTTCCCCACCAGTGCCTGTAAAATAAGAACATTTCGTTTACATCAACTCAACACCCCCTAACTGAAATGCAATGGATATTTGAACTATAACATATATAGAATACTTGTATTCAACTTCATAACTTTGCTTACAACTTATACCTGAAAGCTGCACAGAACGTTGTATTTTGGCATCCTGTTGCACTGATTTTCATC